GAGCGGTTTGGGAGCTAACCCTAACTAGCAGCTGTCAGCAGATGACACAAACACTGTAGATGAATCAATTTCTGTCCTGTCTGCTCAAACTGAACACTGAAGTGGACGTTTGAATGTAATTGAAGTATCTGCTACTGTATGTAGCTGTATGGGAGAGTATTTATTTTTTAAGATTCATTTATAGATGTATGTAGTGTATATCTCTATGATGGATAATGAGCATGATGATCCCAAAATGGCACATTTATCCAAAATTCAGCATGGCATGATCATAACTTCACATTCTTTATAGTTAAAGTTAGTTAAAGTTAGGGTGGCATGGTGGTGCAGTGGTTAGCAGGGTGTACCCTGCCTCTCACCCAGTGTCAGCTAGGACTGACTCCAGCTCCCTGTGACTGTCTACAGGATAAACGGTATAGATAGCAGTAATGGATAGTTACTGTTAGCTCAGCTTCTGTGTGGCATGCCTTGAGGGATCTTATAAAGTTTGTAGCATTCTTCCAACTCTTACGCAGACATTCTCTGGTGTCAGTAAGATTACTGCACTTTCACTTTTTCTCTTCTTTCTTTTCACTCACCATGGGATTATACTTGAACTGGGTCAAATTTCTCCCACTTTTTATGCCTCTGCTCCAGCAGTAGCCAAAGCTGGAGGCAGGTTGTCCGTCCATCTGGCCGTTCTCTTGAATATCTCAGGAACTACTTGAGTGAATTTCTTTAAGTCCACTTGGACTACCGAATAGATGAACTGATTAGACTTGTTGCTGCTGTCCAACGTCACCAGTAAGTCAACAAAAGCAAAGCGAGATTGTGTTGCCCTTTTAGTTTTTTTAAGTCTATTTTACCCTTTTTTGTCAGCAATATTGGATGGAGATTTAGTCACATCTATTGTTTAATAACCTCAGTTTGTCTTTGACAAGAACTACACAGTATATTTGGTAAATGGTCTTATACTTGTGTAGCGCTTTACTATGCATTGCGGCACACCCAAACCACTTTCACACTATTTGGCCATTCACCTATTCACAGTCTTAGGCGCTCACACATTCAGGCACCGGTGTCGTCACCGAACAATCGAGCATCAATCGAACTACTAATCTGGTTAGGAGTCGACCACCATTGTCATTAATCACACTAATGAAAACAAAGTTGTAATATTGGGGGAAAAGACATTATATTGTGCAGATATAAATTTAATAATAAAATCTAAAAAATAATAAACCTACAAAGAAAGAAAAAAAATTTTTAAATGTTTAAATAATCAGCAAAATATAATTATTCTATTCCTGAGATAGTGCAATGTTTTTCTTCTATGATTCAGACTTTTCTCAAATGAGTTCTTAAGATCTCCCATTTCTTTTTTTTTTTATATCTGAGCTGACTATTACAGTATGCATGTAGATATAGTCAGCTAAGGAGAGTGGTTTCAGATTCATCTCTGTAATACACCCCCCACCCCCCGCAGAAAAAACTATAACACAAATATACAGTACTGCACTTAGTTAAGTAAACAATACTCACTGTGTAAATAAGACATCTCGGGGTTGTTGGAAAATGGATATGTTTCAGTTTTGAAGGAAGTCAGCCAGCAGTTTCTGCTTGCGTTCAAGCTTTGTGTTATGCTAAACACATACAGTACATACAGAACTATTCTTGATAAACAGCTGGATGCAGTAAGTAAACAGCACCTCGTACTGCAGTCACCATGTTTCAGCTCTCTTGAAACTCCACTAAGAGCAAAACCCAGTGACTCCTGATTCTGCATGTAGTGGAAAAAAGTCACATTTTTTCATCTGACTCTGGCTTTGACACCAAACCCATTTCCCCAAATGTCTGATTGTTCTCAAAATCTCGTTTTTACCCCACATTTCTTGGGGTCTCTTAACTGAATGAGGGTGCACTCTGTGTGGTGAGCACCGTGATCTTCATGATCATTCGCTGTGTCTGTTGCCAAGAATTTTGTGAGTCAGCATGTTAATATTTGTTTTCTGGAGGAGAACATTGCTAGCACAGTTTAAGTAGGAACTGTAATACAAGTAAACAACCGGAGTCCAGAGAGCTGATGGGATATGTTGTGTTTCCAGGAGCTCGGCCAGCCCATGATGCCTGCTTTGAAGATGTTAATACAGCGGGGAACGAAGGAGGGAATTGTGGGAAAGATGAACATGGCAATTATATGAAGTGTGAGAAAAGGTAAGATTGGGTTGTGACTGTGACATAACAAACACATATATTATCACTTAGCATACACAAAACATACCAGCATTTCTTATTCCCTTCCTACAAACACATTTCAGTAAATAAGTACACTTGTCTATGATTAAACAGACCAGTTTCTTCTAAATCTCATTCTAGAGGTTAAGAATTACTTCACGGTTCGTATCATCACATGACACTGGTTCATGCAGAGGTCAAAAATGTCAAGTCCTCAGCTGTTACCGAATTCCACATACACAGAGACAGTACTGCCATTTCAGAAAGTGTGAACTCCCCTTCATTCATTCATTCATTCATTTTCTACTGCCTAGAAACGGGGTCACGGGGGTGGGCCGGAGCCAATCCCAGCCGGCTAACTCCCCTTCACCTTTTGCTCATTTTACTGCATTGTAAATTGTAATTTTTCCCCCCATGTCAAAATTAAATTACAACATACTATAGTGTGCAAAAAGTGAAGGAGTGTGAATACTGTCTGAAGCCACTGTATGTACTGTAAATTCTGAGAAAGTGGCAAATTGGCGATCAGGTGAAGCTTGAAAGGTGAAAGTTCCTACAACCACAGGTTTCTGAGGTGAAAAGGCAGGGCAACAGCACATTTCATCCACAGAGACAGTTCATGTGCTTTACATAGGCACAGAGCAATGTAAACAGCATTAACAACACAACTATAGAGTATAAGTTGTCGGTTGCCCCAAATGCAACACAGAAAGCAAAAGTGCAGCAGAAAAACAGTCAATCAAAGACACAAGAAAACAGCATAGCATATGTTTTGATGAACTATAGTGTTGTGCTGTATGTATAAACTGTTGTGAAAAATGCATATTATCCTTTGAAAATGACAGTGAGGAGAAATGAGCCCAAACTCCTGGGAAAAGCTGTAATGAAATGATGACAGAAGTCCTGATTTCTAACGATAGCGCAGTTTATTTCAGTAGTTATGTTGTCATCATGTGAACTTGTGGTCTGTTTTAAATCATTGCTGCTGTTAGCAAGCGCACTTTTGCTGAATCGGGTGTTTCATCATACACAGCCAGGCCCTCTGTGCGCTGTCAACACAGGCCTCTGAGAGGCACAGTGCCGGAGCTAATTAATGGAGCCAAATTAGCAACTTAGCTATGTAAATGAGCTCGTGGATGACGGCCGCTTCATATGATCCACCGCTGCCCAAATCCATTATGAAGTCCCACAGGAGTCATTAGAGTGTTTTCTGGCCACAGTGAGTCACAGAGCCGATTAGAGGATATGTAAATGCACTATCTGCCTGTTATTAAGATGTGAATAATCTGCACACAGTCGCTATCTGCTCATCATTCTGTAATCCTCTGCGCTTGTTTTCCTCATGACAGGCTGTGAGTGTGTATGTGTATTTACCAGTCTGAATATGCTTATTAATCTGAAAAATCTGGGTGTTGACAACAAAATAAAGTAGGATTTCCTCACTCAAAAAGCATTTTTAAGGTACCTATAGTAGTAACACCTCCCAACTGAGCATGTACCTACAGTATGTGGGTTTATTACACTGTGGATACTCAGATTTTAGAGTTTCAACAATTCATTAATCTTTTGGTGTACAGACCATCTTAGACCTTCATAAAGTACTACCCCTAGACTAGGGGCTTTTTGGGGGAGGGAACTACACCCCAGAACCAAATTCTAGACCCTGGTTCCTCCAGTGGAAACACAGAGAGAGTTTCCCAGAATGTTCCTCTTCCCCAGAGAAGGTTCCTCTGGTGGAAATGGGCTTTAATTTGTCACCTACAGTATCTGTATGTGCCTTTGGAATACAAACAACTTGAAAATCACCGTAAACATAGCAGAGGTACTGTATGAGCCAGTAAATCTCGACACCAATTCCCAGAGAGAAGTCACACTTTGGGTGATAAATATTGGTAAACAGATATTTGATCTGTCTCTAATCCCCTCTCCTGCACTGGAGCTGTGGAGTGGAACTGTATGACTGTAAAGCAAGGTTGTTAATATTAACATGGAGATCTATTGAATCGCCTTAAGAAGTAAAGGCTACATGTATACTTTTATTTCTGCACAGTGATGCCAAGTGCGGTAAGATTCAGTGTCAGAGCGCTGCTAAGAAGCCCAAAGGCACCAACGCTGTGTCCATCGACACCACCATTAAAACAGATGGCATCGAGGTGAAGTGCCGTGGCACCTACGTCTACAGCACCAGTGTTGACCAGGGCGACCTGCCTGACCCTGGACTAGTGATGACTGGCACCAAGTGTGGAGAGGGCAAGGTTAGTGTGCGCCGAACTGGGTCTTAGGCTTTAGAATGTCCAAAAGAGTCAGTTAATTAAGGGATGCAATTGATTAATATAATTGTTTTGTGTTCCTTTCAAAATCAACATTAATGTACTGGTCCAACAACCTACATAAACCATAAATGTATTAGTTTATCAATACATGGGCAAAGCAAGATTTTTCCTACGCCACATTATAAGCTTAAGAAGGTTTCCCCATTATGCCATTCCACCTAAAAACAATATTGCCTTGTTAGTTTGACCCTCATAATATGACTGCTTGACCATGAAACCTAACCCTAGGATTTGGAATGAAGTTGATATCATTATTAGTTTGAAAATTGCTCAAGAAAAACAATAGATACATTTGATTGTTAAATAAATGCAGACTAACATAACACAGCATCTGGATTTCTACTGAGAATGTGGACACCTGCCTGGCATTTTGAATTAGCCTACAATAGAAGACGGTGCAGAGAGAAGGAAATTGACATCACATTTTGGTCATATAGGATTTAAAACTGTTCAACAGCCAAATGTCAGAGCAGTGTTCCTACCCTTCTAACAGGACACTTAATAGTACATATTTGCCAGGAGTTTCTTGGCTTCAGTTTGTTGGCTTTACTTGTTTGAATATGGGTCTGTTTGAACAGGCTTTGCATATCTCAGGTGTGACAACGCAGGATCCTTGTTGAAGTGATGTGATCAAGTGTGTTTGCATTCACCACTGCATGTAATGTTCTGACATGTCTAGGTGTATAAGGTGTACTGTTCCAGGTTGCCAAAATATTTGGGTCCAGTACTACACAAAAAAAATGTTGTGTTGTATTAGCAAAACTTTCAAGTTTCTCATTTTTAGCCAGGGTTGCCCATCATCAGCAGTCGCCCATAGCTTATTCATTTTCACAAAGCTTGGGACAGATGTGAAGAGTAGCTGAAACCTCCAAAGACTGGACAAACCAGGTATTGCCACCAAGGTGGAAAGAGTTTTTAAGTTTGAGCAGTTAAAAGGTGCAGCTACCGATCAAATGAGTAAAAACAGAAATAACAAACCTCTTGGTAAACCAAGAGTTACATTCCTTGGCAAGTGCCAGAAATTCAGTGAGTACACAGTGATCCTTGTGTTTTTCTTTACCAGACTTTCATCAGAAAGAGTTGTGCCTTGCTACTTATTGTGCAACCCACATGGACGTGGGAAATTAACAAGGCACCACATGCTGTTTGCTTTGATTTCCCAGCTATCAACAGCAACTGACCCTGGCTAAAACAGACTCCAAAAAATGTAACTGTACAAACATAATGTGTGTTCCCACCTCAACTTGCCAAAATATAACTTGGCTAATGTTTAGCTGAATGCTTTCTGCAAGCAGTTGACTTTACTACTGCTTGTTATTAAAAAGAAAGAACCACCGCTCTACAAAAACCAAGAGAAACAGACACATCGTGTCAGTTTTAGGGGTCAGAATCTTTTAGTTTGACTTTTATACCTAGAGTCAAACGATTTTCAACTAAGAACTCTGAATCAGGTCCATTAGTTTTTGGATCCAGTTGCTTGTGAAAAATAAGGGATGCAAAAGTAAATTGGTTAGATTTAATTAACTACAGTACCTTATGCTGGTCATTACATTGTTAGGTTGTGGCTACAGGTTGCAAACATTAATTAAGCTTAGATTCAGACGTGTTTCTGCTTCCCTAGCTAACAGCTGATTACAAATCTAAATTCAGTTTTGAAATTTGAGGTATGTTATTTAAAGCTGCTTTATTGTTTTAACACTGGATAAAATGATAATATGTAAAAGAAAAGGTTTCACTTGTAGATGAGCCCACCAACTATGATCACCAACTCTGTGGCTCTTTGTACTCTATAGTGCTAAAAAGCCTGTTTTAGCTTCTTGTTTTGGTTTTAAACCCCTCAAATTGACTGCTTTGGTAGCTAGCCTACCTGCTCAGTACCAAACAGACAAAATGGGGACTGACAAACCTGAACAGCAGCTAGCAGCTAACGAGCCAGACAGTTTTCTTAGGAGACCAAAAGTAGCGCTAACAGTGGGTGAATATTGGACATAATATTCATGACATGTACACAAACACAGCTCCAAATGTATGCTGATTTTGCTCTATATGGGGAATGGCAAAACAGCGGGCAGACACAACAGACAGGCTGGCAGGTGTGGTAAAATGGATGATATTAATAACAAAGAAAACAGGCTTACACAAACTCTAGGCAGGCAAAATCAGGTGGTAAAAATATGAGAGGCGCCATCAGAGTCTAGGCAGACACTGGAAACAAACAGGCCATCCACAACAAGGCAAATGGTTTAAGGAATCAGACAAGAAGCAAAGTATGAAATGCTGCGCCAAAGTCCGAAACAGGGAAGTAGACCAAAAACAGGTTAATCACAGGAAAAATCAGGGAAAAGGCAGGAATGACTGTAAAGCTATGGCTACAGAGCAGAGGACATGAGTGAAATGGCCAGTATACACTGATGGGAAGGGAACCAGTGAGCAAAGGACATAGGAGGCTGGATGGCAGAATGACAGTTCCAAGAAAAATCAAGACAATAGCAAAGCCAAGAGCCGACTGTGACAACTTTGTATCTGCTGGATGTGTAAAATAAGTGACTGTTTGCTAACACATTAGTTATAATAACATTTTATTTATCAAGGCCAGTGTTGTGTTTGCAGCTTGTTATGCCAGTTGGACAAATGTAGTAATGAAACTCTAAGCTATTTTTAACTTCAGGTTCTTAACAACCGTATCACTCCAGATTCCAACGTTGACTGTATTGGAACAACTTTAGAAGAGTTACTCAAACTTGGCAGCAACTTGTATCATCCTCCGATCTTTTCTACTGTGTTAGACTTCATTTTTTTCACTTTTCTCTGTGTGCATGAATGTGCTGAAAGAACCTATTATTAATAATCACTAATATTCTTCTGATGAATAAATGATCAGGTTTAAAATGAGCCCTCTTTACACAGATTGAAATGTCAGTGGGAGGAGGTCTGTTCTATGTCAGTGTTTGTTTGTAACACCTTTTCTGTTACTCTCATTGGGCTGAAGCTAAATGAAGTATAAAATTCCACCTACTGACATGCAAAAATCATACAAAATAAAAGCTGAATTATGCAGGTGAAATACATATATATGAAAAGGCGCACACACCAGCTAATATCTGCAGCCTCCACCGTTCACCAGCAAATTCTCCCTCTCTGTCCGTCTATATTGTTTTCGCTCTGCAGCACATTCCAGCCACTTGAATTCCATTTCAGCTATTGTGCAGGGCATGCTGAAAGAACCAATACTGCTGCATGAGTAATGCATTATAAATAGGCAGCAGAGACTATTGTCTGCCATCCAGCATGATGAATTTTGAGTCATCATATTGAACGGGTCTTTTCTCAGAAATAAATGCACACGTAGCACGGAGCTGCTGCTTCTAATCTCCCAGCCACACATTCACCTACATTAAATTGATTCCCCAGCTAACAATAGTAAAGCAACAACAACAGCCAGAGCAGGCTATACAGTACTAATGCAAATACTAATGTTAGCGTTAATAGAAGTCGGCGATGGAGTGCTACATAGAAAAGTGTTGAGTTATTACTTGCAGTTTGCAACAGGCACAGTCACCAGTTCTGTTGTAAAAGGACCGAAAATAGATGGCTCCATCAAGTACTTAAAAGACTTTTTACTGCTCTGCTTGAAGTTTTGGACTGAGGTGTGTTACAGTCTTAGGGCTCGATTTTTCTGCCAGTACAAAGCAGGTTTAGCTGGGAGGGAGGAGAGGCACAGCTGAGGTCATGTTTATGCTGATTAGGCAGTGCAGCGCAATTTTGGTGTTCATTTTGACCCAAAATTGCGTTTACTTTACCGCCTTTTATTGCAAGCAAATGGTAGTTTTTCTAACAGTCTAGCCTAGTAGCGGAAGCTACCCCAGGTCCAGCTACTTTCAAATCCAACTTGAAAATTCTGCTGTTCTCCTGTGCCCTTGATTGCCTGGTTTCGCTATTACAATTTTGTTACCTGTGCTGCACTGAACATAGAACCTACTGCTGCTTAGTAGTTTTTTTATTCTTTTTCTTTGTCTATTAGTTTTTATTTTCACTTTATGCATTTTATTTTATACAGTCTTCCCACTGATACTGTCTTCAGCATCTCTTCCATGTTGCACCCAATATGCACCAACAAAGACGGTCACCAAAATTGCAAAAAAATAAATACATTTTGTTGGACACACTCATATGCATGTTCTCCTGGTTGTCATCACCTCATCTTGTGTTTGCCTCTGTGACGTATTCCAGGAAAAGTGAGTCCTCTATGTATATACAGTACAGTATGTGACTTTTCAAATGTTGCTTCTGTCCCAGGTAGTTATGAGGCTAAGTCTAGTGTTTTTTCTTCTCCGGTTTTTAATCCAAATCACATTAGTAACAAGTTTTTTGAATGTTGACAGCCAGTAATTTCTTATTATTTCTACACATAGCAACTACAGCACTCTATAAGGAACCTAAAGGAGTAGTTGAAAAGTTTTCTTTCTTCATTAGAGTGAGAGGAGAAGACTGCATGTAAAACACTGAGGTTGAGTCAGGACATGATTAGTCTAGTTTAACATAAAGACTAGGGGGAAACAGCTAGCCTGGCTCTGTTGAAGAGTCATAAATCCACTTACCAGCACCTCTAAAGCTCACTAATAAGCATCTGTCTTCTTTGGGTAACCTGTACACAGGAGTTTAAGAATCACAGCTACTTATTGTAGGAGTTACATGCTGAAACACTTTGGATCAGTGTTAGTGATAAACCACTGACTGTGCTCCCGCCTGCTCCCAAAGTATCTGTCCTAACATCTGCTCTAACACAGTAAGGATGGAGTGTGCATGACACACAGAGCTCCATATAAAATGACATTACTCCATCATTAATGTAAATGTTATTAAAATGAATATTGAAGACAGCCATGTTTGATAAAAGAAGCATAATAAACATTATTACAGGCTCTTAAAGCAAGTAGCAGTTTTGGAAATGATTTAAAACAGGATACTAATGTTTGTTTAATCCCCTAAGGCAGCCAGGTTGCCCTAGGGCTGTATATATATGTGTGTGTGTGAGGGTGCATTGTAATGCTGTGATTGTTCTGCTTGTGTTGCCACAGGTGTGCAGAGACCGCCGATGCCAAAATGCTTCTTTTACTGAGCTGGAGACTTGCATCGCACGCTGTCACAGCAACGGGGTATTCACACACACAGACACACTCGCTAGAATACAGAGTCACACAACAGACTCAACTCGCTTGGCTGGCAGGCACAGCTCCCTAATCTTATTGTCATGCTGTGTCCTTGGGCAAAGGAGGCTCTTTGCAGCACTGTCACCAATTCTGTTGTAAAAGGCAGGAAAATAGATGGCTGGAAAACAACAGCAAATGAAGTGATGAACTATTTATTGGAGCAGTACAAGCAACCCTGAGGCAGATAAGGAAGAATCATACATAGTTTATGAGTCAGTACCTAAACTCTGGAGTGGAGTGTTTGGGACTTAAACCCTTGTTACTTTAAGAGGAGATGGGAATGTAGACAGGGGTTATTTATCAGGGACCTCTGACTTGGACCTTTGAAGTTATTGTCTGAAAATGAGCTGGTGTTGATCCTATTAGTGACCAGCTAAGTGATTTTTCAAAGGAAAATTGTCAAACATAACCTGAGACATAAATATTGATCTGTCACCAGAATTTGTTATTTTGCCAGGACTTAAAAATGCACTAACCAAGACTTGTTTGTAAAAGCTACCTAAAATACTCCAAAGAATCTGGGCAATAAAAGCAAATCAAGAAAATGGAAGGGTGGATGGATGGATGCCTAAAATGTCAAGCAGGCACACAGATATAAAGAGTATTGGATTCTTGCCAACTTGACAGAAATGAAATTCAGCTGGTGATGTCTCGTCTATTAACAGTGAAATACAAAGCGTCTCCTAAAGAGCAGTGAGTGAGCAGTTCATCCAGAGGGAGCTGAACTCATCACTGTTTTACAGCTTTGGCCTTTAACATCCTCTGGGATGATCACTGCAGACTGGCCAAGTTGATGGCAACTCCTGGTGTCACATTGAAGGGTTTCATCATTAACACTGTCACCAGCAGGAGTCGCTTCACTGGCTCTCCACCATTAACACAGTCATTTGTTTTTCCTGGAGCTCTTGACTTAAAGAGTGTGGTGAATTTTCTCACATGGTTTCATTTTCTGGTGTTTTCACATCATGTGAATTAGCCTAGTGATACCTAACCAGTGGTTAAAGGTGAACTCCATAGTGTATTCAGGAGTTATGTTTATTTTTTTTTTTATAATGTGGCAATTAAGATGTGTGGATGATGTTTGCTGTCCAACTTTCTAGCGTGACCAGGCTGTAAACCCAAGACTGAAAAACTTACAAGAGGACAGTTTTCTAAGCTACATTAACTAATAACCACAAAGTGATTTCTTTCTGCCTCAAACGCTATTCAGCACCAGGTGTACAGGGCAAGCAACGCAGTGTTTGAAAAATAGTTGCAGCAGGACACAGAATATCTTCCACAATGTCAAATATGTTGGATTTGTTTTTGAAACAGTCTCTCTTCCTGTCTGCAGCTCATCACTTGATGCTCATCATTTCTGCTATTGGTTAATGCAGCTTAGTGAGGAAAAGGGAGCATTTGGTTTGATGTAAGGTGTCTCCCTGCTAATGCAAATACGGCAGATTCATTGTCACATGAGACTGAGATCGCACAGGGATCTATATCACACTCACAAAACGATTTATCAGGCAGCCCTACCAGTTTCATACATATGGTTTGAGTCTAAGCCTAGCTGACATGGCCATTGTGTGATTTGACCTAAGTAGTTTTAAATCTGGGGTGGCATGGTGGAGCAGTGGTTAACAGTGTCACCTGTCACAGCAGGAAGTTTCCAGGTTTGAGTCCCGGCCAACCTGGTGCCTTTCTGGGCAGAGTTTGTTTCCCTGTGCCTGTGTGGTTTTCTCTCTGGCTTCCTCCCACAGTCCAAAGACATGCAGCTTAGCTTGACTGGCGACTTTAAATTGCCCATAGGAGTGAGTGTGAGTGTGTGTGGTTGTTTGTGTTTGAGTGTCAGCACTGTAATAGACTGGCGACCTGTCCAGAATGTACCCCGCCTCTCACCAAGCCCTTCAGAATAAGCGGCATAGTGCATATTGCATGGCTGTTTTGAATCTGAGCACTTGAAGTGAACCCAGCCTCAACTGAAATTTGACACCTTGGAAGTCTAAAGATGTGGCTTTTGTTTACCCCATCTACTGTATAAAGAATGGCCGTACCACTCTCCATGCATTGTTATTTGATCAGATTTACAGTATTATGAGTGAGAAGAAAAACACCAGACTTATCTTCTCCTTTAATCCCCTTCTCCATTCTCGCCTCATTTTGTTGTCTAATGCTGTTTGTCCCTTTTTTGTTTGCTCCTCTCAGTGTAACAGTAGCTGGATAATGGAAATGGCTTTGAGTCAGGATTATTCAAATTTTGCCGTCACAGGCTTTTGGGGTATGCTGGACATGAAAAATGAGCAGGGGAAGTACCACTCTCTTCTGATAGCACTACTGGATGGCATAATTTAAAAAAACTACACAGGAGGTTTTTATTAAAAAGCTTAAAACACATTAGAGGTCCTGGAGAATTGGCAGGCTGGACGATATGTTATACTGGATATCAATGATGGTGTGTAACTCCAGGTCATGGCATTTCATTCCATACAGCTTTACCCTTCTTATCCTTATATTAGATACAAATGCCTTTTAAATATGATCTGATCAACAGCATAAAAATTTCACAGAGCAACCTCACCAAGGTTGAAGGCTGAAAAAAAGATAAAAATCAGAAAATAACTGAGTGCCCTTCATGTCCACTGAGTGATAATGTGGTAAATAGGCATGTTAATCATTGATTGGATAATTACATCTTGATATAATTGTAGTATGGCAGCATTTTCTCCTCCATTTGAATTACACAAATCTCTGGAGATGTTAATCAAGTTTAAATGCTATAGCAATATGTAGAAACAAGTGTTTTTTCCACAGTCTTTTAACAAAGTCTCAGTGGTGCCCTGTTGCTGTTCAGAGGTCTGTTTTGGATGAAATGATCAATTTTATTCTTAGTGACTGTAATCAGATTATTTAAGTTTATATTTTTTTGTAAAACCTTTGTAAACATGATTATTTTGCTTTCGGTATGATGGAGAGACTCGTCCACTGTTGCCATAGAGAGGAGTCAAAGCTGCTACAGTTGAGAACAAAACACAGCACCATAGTTACTTCTCCCACAGATGACCTCAGATGTAAAAGCGGACTGATTTAAGCTGCAGTTTCTTCGGGGGGTTTTCAGCACCGCCGTCTTTACTGCCACCGACCATTAGCAGTACATGCAACAGAATTTTGAGCTTGGTGATTGGATGTTTCTTGCTGAAGTGCACCTTGTGAGTCATGGTGAACATTAGAGTCACATCATCAGAAGATCAGTTGACAAAAATGGCGTATGTGTGTGATTTTAGTTTTGTTTTAGTCAAGACCAGGAAGAAAAATCTCAGTCAAACCTCAGCAAGCTGCTTTCTGAAGAGCTTCTCCAAATGATTTTAGACCAGAAGACAGTTAAAATGAAAATAGGCCACAAAATGACAGGCTGTATCATTAAGAATGCAGCATTTACTCAGATTTTTTTAGGCTTTAGTGGTAAAGTTGTTTAACTTTGTTATACTTTATACAGTAAATATTTTAATAGGTTGTGCACCACCATTTAAATACATTTGTAAAGAACATACAGTTTTTGGAAGCTCTTTGCATACAACACAAGCTCAGTATTAGACAGCTGGCTACTGCCTAGCAAACGCTGTTCAAGTCCAGAATCAATCATAATATATTGACCATTTTAATAACCAGAAGATGTTGTGAATAGACTGTCTTTAGCTGCATGAACCCATTCAAAACTGACAAGATCTGACTACCAAATGGAAATTAAGTTGCATGTGTTTTAGCACGGATAGCATGTTTAACATGCCAAAATACTACACATCCACCTTTCACACCAGATATATGGCTACTAATGCAGGAGCCCCCTTTTGTCCAGAGGAAGTCAAGTGAGTCAAGCATATCACAGGAAGTGCACACTCCAATTCAAAGATAAATGCCAGCACTTAAAAGTTCAGAAACAAATACTAATAATAGTAAAATAAGGTCATACATATAAAGGTACAGCATTGTACAAGATCATGCAAACACCTTTGCAAATGTGAGATATCACTCATAATGTCAATGTTTTGCAGTCTGTTCCATTTATAAGGTGATTATCTGAAGGGAGAGGAGAGAAAATCCCATTAGAACACATGCAGTGCCAGTCTGTAGTAAACAAGACATTAGTGCTTCTAATTTGACTGGTACAGCTCCAGGCACATACACACAAGATTATACTGAGACCGAACAGCAAATCACATTAACAAATGTCTTGTCTGTATGTGTGTGTGTCTTTATTACACTGTGTAGATAAATGTTTGTTTGATGCGATCACTGTGAGATTGTTGCTGTTGTGAGGGCATTTTAACTGATCCACACACACACACACACACAAAGGAAGTCTCCAGAATGTAAATCATTACATTATAGAGTGATGACTTGGTTTAAGGTTAGGGTAAGTCTCCTGGAAATTAAGGTAAATCAATGTAATGTCTCCTGATGTTATGAAACACAACGTGTGTGTGTGTGTGTGTGCAGGTGTGTAACAGCAATGGGAATTGTCACTGTAATCGAGGCTTTGCACCACCTTTCTGTGACAAGCCAGGACTTGGGGGCAGTGTGGACAGTGGACCCATCCAGTATGACAGTGAGTTCATACACACACACAGTCACACTCACATAGAGAGTGAGTGTCCTGCTCTTGTGCCAAGCTATCTGTTCATCTCAGTGCTAATGAGATAAATTAGAAAATATGTAAATGTGTGGAATAAGATTGCATGTTTTCCATCCACACTGCTGTTTGATTCTTGAGATGGTGCTTCCTCACTGTCACACCAGAACAGCAGCGTCATGTTTAGACCTCGTCTGCACAGGCCACTAGAGACAGTGTTAATTACATGACAGGCAGGCTCTGGGGATCACATGTTAAATTATATAGCAGTTTTTTTGTTTTTGCTGTCAACATTACAGTGTAAAAATGGGTGTTTTCACATGTGTCTTGAAAAGACCTTTACCGGTTGCATTATGGGAAACGTAGGATCCAATATTTTAGCGGTTTTAGCAACACTGGGCCTTAACAGTCAGTCTCTTTTTTACAAAACTTATGAAAATGAATACAAAATAGGTGAGCATTCTTTCACCATGTGCAGTTTAAGTGCTTGTGGGCATCACATCCTGGGTACATAAATCTGGATAATAAGCTTAACTCAACAGACCTCATAAGTGAGCAGGGCTTAAATGGAAAACCGCAGCCCCTTCAGTTACAAATTCAGGATAATTTATCTGCTTTTATCTCAGGTTTTACATCTGCATCTGCATCAGGACATAAAATCTGTCTTTATACTTCATTTCAAGGTGAACAACAAAGTGCTTATTTAATAAATGTTGATAAAAGGTAATTCACAGGACACCCTATTGATGTACAAGTAGACACACAACGTCTGTTCATTCAGCACACTGAGCTTCATTAGTATTCATAATCTCAGGATTATTAGATTAGATTTCATCCATTTATTGTATATACTGTAAAGGAAGAGAGAGAGAATATTTAGATGCCACCTACAGATATGACTGCAGGGACACTTTAGCTGTACATGTGATCATGCTCAGTGTATGTGCGTCTCCACAGGTCAGGTTGGGCTGGTGCTGGGGCTGCTGTTTGCCTTCCTGGTGCTCCTGCCTGCAGTGCTGCTGCTCCTCTACTGCTACAGGGTCAAGACATCCTATTATCATAAGTGGCTTTCCCAGAGAGAGAAGAACAAGATCAACAAGTACTGTGCCCTGTCTGTCTTCCTGTCTGTTTGCTAACAACACACTACACTGATTTTACTGGAATTACACTCAGAATGAAGAAAGAAAGAAATTACCTGCTCAGGGCACATACTTAAAGAACTGCTCAGTTTTTTACATGTTCAAGTTTGAGTCCTGAACCCCAAGCTACATTTTTGTTTTGTTTTTCCATGACTTGCCTTTAAACTCACCAGGCCAATGAAGTTGTTGACAGACATTGTTACAAAACCTAACTAAACTCAGCACCACCATACAGGGTCAGTCTAAAACATTTTGAAGTACAATAACACAAAAGGCAGAGCTGAAACAAATAGATGATTAACTGATTAATCTATTGGTAGAAAATGACCCATTTCTCAAATGTGAAGACGTGCTTTTTTCTTTGTTATATATGGTAGTAAATGAAATACCTTTGGGCTTTGGACTGTTGCACTGGACAAAACATGATGCTGTTGAGTACGTCCCATGTTTAAGTTCTCTCTCCGAGCACTCTGTTTTGAAATCTGTCTGCTGAAAAACATCAGTACATTATTATGCAGTGGAGACCTCACACATCATTCAGTCTGAGAAGTAAGGGAAACGATAAGTGAAGGAAGGAGGAAATGAATCATACATGGAAGGAAGAACGTAATTTAAGAAAAGGAAGGAAGGGGTGAAAAGAAGGAAGTAGGGACAATGTGGCATCAGGATCTGTTTTAAAAAGGAAGGAAGGAGGAAGTAAAAAAGGAGAAAGTGAAAGGAAAGGAAGAGTTTAATTGCAAGAAGCAAAGAAGAAAAGAAGGAAGTACACACTTGTAGACCTGCCAGTGCTCAAGCCGGATCATCTCCAACTTCATCTCTAGCAAAAATGGTAGCATTTTGTGCTACAGCTCACCTCCATCCATGTTCTTATAAACCCCAGAGCTTCCATTATGAGTGTTGCTATGTACCTCACCCAGAGAGACAGCCGTGTCATAACACTGGCTGAGTTAGTGCCTCTGAAAATGCTCAAGTCTTCCACAGTGATTTACAGAAAAGAAATGTTTCTGGAAAGGATCCAGCAGCCTTTTAGACCTTGACCTTCCAAATGAAGACAGAGGGAAAAGCTAAATCTTAATGATATTGGTTCTCAGCAGGATTTTACAGTAACTGCTGCTAAAGTGACACAGAGAGGAGACAACTAAATGAATGGGTAGCGGTATGGAAAATTGAGCCACTATGATAATTAAAAAGATTCCTAACACCAGCAGCTGCAATGACAACGCTCTGCTTTGTGTGTGTGTGTGTGTGTTTGTGTGTGTGTGTTTTGTTCCATGGCCAATAGCTTGGGTTTGTTTACAGTTCATCAGTGGGTGGTTTGAGCTGATCAAAAGCCTTTTTAAGCATATACTGTCCAGTATGCTTGGAAAGCTTTCTAATCAGCTAAGAGCCTGCAGTATGTACATACACGGAGTTTCCAGATCATAAAGTGTACCCCTATGCTCTAATTCAATTTATTGCAACAGACCTGCACTAAATCCGTCTTTTGTAGAACTTTGTAGGTTAAGTTGATTCAATTCTGTGGTCATTTTGGAGACTGTAGTTAGTCATGTTTTTATACTGGATTGCAAATGTGTGGAGATGTGGAGAACATCATACATATCAACTTAAAGGTACCCTGTGGACTTTTAAAGCTGTACCAGTCAACAATGAATCAAATGTGGAATGTGAGAAGGTATTGCTGTGACAAAAGTAGCCAGAATTCTCACCACTCTGTTTCCCACAGTCCAGTGGAGCTTTTTAGAGCCTTTTAGCTCATTGTGTTGGTGTTATGGCCTGTAATTATACTGTTTGGTACAGCATCAGTGCTCTCATCAGCCTCTTTTCCAGTTATGCGCAGGCCTGTGAGTGTCTGTGTGTAAACAGCTGTTGAGGGACTAGTCCACTCAGTTTAACTTGACAGCCTCATCTGAAATAAGCTCCCCTGACACTGGGCTGAAACGTTTGGCTTATCCTTCACCTCCTCATTTCCTTTCACATCATCCTGGATAAGAGGTTTCATGTTGACTTGTCTTCTGTCTCTTTTCCCACCCGGGGCCAAAAAAATCAATGTCAGATTGAGAAGTGTGATGAAGCAGGACAGTTTTCAGGCATCAGGCTTTGGCTTATTTTCTGTCTGTCCTCATTTCTCTGCTCAGGACACAGGCATCAGTGGAAAAGAATGGCCATCTGAGTTCTGCTTTTCACCTGAAGGTGGTCAGACCAATCAACAAAGCTAGCAGCCACAAGGGGGTGAGTGGAGTGTGGATTTTATTGTCAGTTCACCATATGTGCAGGACATACAGAAAATTGAAATACCGTTTCTCTCTCAGCTAGTATCGGGTGCCATAACATAAGAACTAAAATAGAATAAAGTAGAATAAAAATAGAATAGAATAGAATAAGAACTGGGTTGACGTAATTAGAATAAATTACTGTGTGTGGTAAAGAAAGAAAGAAAGAAAAAGGAAGGAAGGGAGGAACTGGGAGGAGGCTGGTGACTGTTTCTTGCTGTGTTTTAGTGAATAATAGACCATCCATGAGGTTGACCTTTGTGTTAAATAGCCTCATTTTTACAGCAGCTTGTCATATTGTTTAACCACTTAGTCTGCTTCCTCCCACATCCACAACACTCATCTGCGCAGGATCATTTCATCAGGTCATTATTTCCAGGTTTTCATAGCATTTATTTAATTGGAATGGTTAGAAACTCAGGGTTAGAGCTCATTTGTCACTGGCAAGGAAGGAGATACAACAAGAGCAAGAAAGGCATCAAAAAGATGAAGGCAAATGAGGGGTAAAGGACAAACAGAAATGGGGAAGACATTTAGTAAATCCTTCTGTGAAATGAAGAAAAATTGTAATAAATATAATTCATGAAGCATCTTTCATAGATTTTAGATTTAGAGTGATGGCTTGCATTGATGCACTCCATATTTATACAACAATATTAAGCTGCTTGATTACTTTCTGTAATCACAGCTAATGTAGATCAATCCCATATCTTTGGTAAATGTCAGACAATAAATCTGTTTTGGGAGATGTATGAAAATGTATTACAACCAATATTAGGGTTTAATGTCCCTATGAGTTGCACACTTTGTCTTTATAATGTCTTTGTAAAAGTTGTGCCAGCAAGAAATAAATGTGTGGTTAAAATGCTGCTGATGACAAGGTAAAAAGTCATTCAAACCAGGGATGCAAACTTGTCACCTTTTTTGTGACGAGTGCAGGTCATGCACATGAATCCAGAACCCAGTAGTTTTTCACTTAGAGATAGTGCAAGTATATAATGATATACTACAATCTAGTCTTGTCCCTGTGTAGTTTTAGGAATAGCTTTGGGGACAGACACACACGCTCTTGTTTCTCTAAATTGACATGTTGTACAGCAGTATCTAGTAGTCGTGCATCATCAGAGCAGCTTCATCTGTAATTAAATACCTGTAAGATTGTAAATGGCCTAGTCTTATATAGAACTTTTCTGTGCAATGAAGCACTTTACACTATTTCTATTCACCCATTCACACACACAAGCATTCACACAGTGATGGCACAGCCACCAGGAGCAGCTGGGGTCAGTGTCTTGCCCAAGGACACTTCGACATGTGGACTGGAGAAGCCGGGATTCGTACCGCCAACCCTCCGGTTAGAAGGCGACCTGCTCCAGCTCCTAAGCCACAGCCTCATGACCATAACTTGTCAGTTTTCTATCAGTAGCACACAGAGACCTTCACATCACCACACTAATCCTAGTACTGGCCATGCTCATCTACATCATCAGGGAAGGGCTTCACATGGGCAGCATTGTGATCACATACAGAAACTACACAAACTAATAGGCTAGTTGGGTCTGTGTGGGGATTCTTTTAGGGAAAAAGTTATGTGGCACTAAACAAATATCTCACAATAAGTTAGGAAATACATAACCAGATGTCACACAGGGGCTATACACAAGGAAAAACTCAAAAAAGCAATCATGTGTCAACTTATTTAACAATAACTGAATAAAGAGATGATACATGGACCAAATTGCAAGTTGCCTTTATTCTGAATTGGTCTTTAGTTATTTCTCTCATTTAAGTTCTTGACGTTATTTGTGTTCTGATCCCAGCTTCTTCACACCAGCAAAGAGGTTCTGCCTCTCAGACCGAGCCCGGTGTCCAATGGCACCCAGCCAGTCAACATTGTTCGACCTCTGAGACCCGCCCAGTCTGCCCAGGGTGGTCACCTAGACGTCAAGGTGGTTCGCCCACCTGGCAGGCCGCCAGCACCTGCACCCAAATCCCCCCCAACCCCACAGAGACTCAGCCCACCCAAGAAACCTCTGCCCCTCAACCCAACACGATCTCCACTGGTAAGATCATTTTTGACACTTTTATGAACTATAGTTGAACTTAATTGAATTTTAAAACTGCTTTAAAACCTGTAGCATCTGATTACAGTTATCACTGAAGT